CATTATTTGTTCTTCGTTTGGTTATTGGCTCGGACAGATTCAATCCGAATCGTGAACCATTGGAACGATTCAGTGAAGTCTAAACACTATTCAGATTTTATTCAGGTTTTCTTTGAAAAATTATTGCAATGCATTTTAAAAATCTGTAATAAAGGTTGATTTAAAGAATCAGCTTGTAACACTCCAAAGAGAAAGGAAAACTTGAAATCGCATCGTATGACCCCTTTAAAATAGATGTGATTTAATTTAAATTTAACTTCATTTAAAGTAGATGTGATTTTAAGCCAAGCTGCCTGTTCAGTCCCGACATACCGTTTCAGGGTCCAAATCTCTACTCCATTTGAAGTGAGAATACAAATTTAACAGTTGCTTATGAGCATTATTAATTTACAGGATACCTTTTAGCTAAGCTTTTAAAAACTCACAATGTACACTAGTCTCCAGGCTCACGGTGTCCCGAACACCAATATTTTAACAATTCTTAAAGTATGAATAACTGTCTGGCCAACTGAGATGAGATAAAGGTCAGGATTGTTATGTTTTAGTAGTACTACAGCACACCGCGAGTTTATATATCAGAACTGTTTTTTGTTTGTTTTTGGGTTCTGAAGGAGAGTTTGGACCTGAAAACTGTGATGTATAATGAAGTAAACAGGAACTTATTTATGACAACCACTCCATTTGTGTTTTTCATTCTTTTATTTAAAAGACTTGGGAGAAATAAACCTAATAAACAGTGCTTGGTTTGGAATGAAAATACTGAATGTTTTGATCGCAGAAACAAAAGAAAGTACAAAAACAATTCAAAACATTCTCTTATCTGAAGGTCACCAAGCCCTCCAGAATATTTCCATTCTCAGGGAACTGCATTTATATAAAGTTCATGGTTTTTCTAAATCTCTTAGAGCTCATCTTTTTGCTGTGATAATTTTGTGGCATGTTTTTCCACAAATTTGCTTAATTCCTCCACGTCCCTTTTGCCGCCTTCAAATTTGACTGGGTTCTGCTTGTTGCTGCTGGGAGCAAAGTAGATTGTAGGGAAACCTTCTACTTTATAACTGTCATGAGGCACATCATTAGCAGAGGCATCCATTTTGGCAATGACAAGATTCTTCTCATTCTTGTATTTCTTTCCGAGAGCTGTATAATCTGGCTCCAGCTTTTTACAGTGGCCACACCATGGTGCATAAAACTCGATAAGGACATCTTTCTTTGTATCCATCACAATGTCATCAAAAGTCTTGCCCACCACAACCTTCACTGGTCCTTTGTTGCTCTTGGGAATAGGCTGAGACTTTACAATAGGTTTCAGCTTACCTGTCAGATAAGAAAAGGATGAAGTCACTGATTTTAATGTAATGTAGTGACAAAAGCAGTGCTCTCTCTAAGCATTTGCATTCTTAGAAGAACATTTACCACACTGGCTTAAACTCAATGTAACAATCACTTCTGATTAAGAAGTATTAAGAGAAATCATGTACATTTTCATGAAGAATACGTAACATGCATAACACACCAATACCTTACCTTTTTTGAAGGCCATGACAAAGCTTCGGAGCACATCCGAGTCAAACTCCTCTGGCTCCATGGCATATTTTTTCCCTTCCTCACCGAGAATGCCAACATTCACCTCCTCCCCGCTTTCACTGAGTCCAAGACTCTTCAATTCATCAGCATAGTCTTCCTCATCCGCTATAGCAAATGTGTACTCTGGGAAGTCCTTTGCTACTTCAAGCACTTTGCTCCTCCAAAACTGTGTGGCTGGGTAGAAATGATAACAAATTGTGTCAGTAGTGAACAAAAGCATTTGCATCGTGAGCTACAGGCATTATCTTAATTCCTTTTAGAGTTTCAAAGCGCTACAACAGCCACGGCTTAGACACATACCAACTCTGTAATCAAAACTGAAGTCTACTCCATAATAAACAACCACAAGAGGTCGTGTGGTGTGTCTCTTTGCATCGTTGCTCTGCTTTCTGTGCCCAACCAAAGGTAGAATGTGTTTCTTGAAAAATTCCTGAACTTCTGAAGCAGGTGTGGAGTCCTTTAGAAAAAAACAAAGAAAATTGTTCAGTTTCAAAAGCGTCTAAATGTTTGTTCACAAAAATTTGAGTTATCTAAACTATGTTAAACTACTATGTGAGCAGTGCTTCATACCACTTCACTATTGACACTGGACCTTTTTTGACCGCAAAAGTTTGCCAAAATTTATCTGATGTTACCACACCTTAACAACAGTGTCATGCTTGGTTTGCAAAGATCTCACACAAACAATAAAGATTCAGAACTTACTTTAATTGTTAGTGAATGAGATGCTGGCTCATATTTAGACCTAAACTTCTCTGGCTGGAGCATGACTGCTTGTCCAGGTGAAGCCTTGAGGAATTTTGCGACTTCATTATTGAACGTATGCATAAATCTGTAGTCTTCTCTTAGAGAATTACCTGCAGGAAAAGAGAACAAGTTGTTAGATAAATAAAATGAAAAGTTCAGATCTAATGCATTTGAGAAGGACTTCCAGACAGCATAATACACACATGCTTCTTGATAGATCTCATATGCTGCATCTTCTTCACTGGAGAAAACACCTACAATCACAGAATCATCACCATCTCTGACGAGCTCCTGAACCTGTTTTAGAGTCTGCACCTGCTTTGATGGAGGACCAGCCTGGTCTGACATGTAATCAACAATACCTAGAGGAAAAAGAATGAAGAGATTGTCATTACGCCTCCAAATCAATCAGTCGCCAAGACAATGGGTGATGGACCTACCAAACTTTTCACGTGGTCCATTGTAGTCGAAAGCCTTGCCCTTTCTGAAGATTTTAAGAGTTGGGTAACCAGAAACACCAAACCGCGTTGTTAAATCACTCTCTGCAGTGGCATCAACTTTAGCCAGTGGAATTGGAGGTGTGCGATTGCGGAGCTCTTTAGCAGCCTTCTCATACTCAGGTGCAAGTGTCTTACAGTGGCCACACCTGTTTGAATTAAAACACATGACTCTCCAAAAGACACACTGATGCTTCAGAAAGAATGCAAAGATGTAACATCATGAGTTAATAAATAAGCTGCACAGGAATCTAAATATACAAACCAGGGTGCATAGAACTCCACCAGAATAATGTCTGCATTGTTCACCACATCATCAAAATTATCCTTAGTCAAGACTAGGGTGGCCTCCGGAGGAGGTTTCCAGTCTGGTTGGGCAACTTCTTTAACTCGTTCCACAATGGCTGAAAAAATGAAAGTTAAAACCATGCTTGATCAACAACGTACGCGGAAGGAAACTCATGAGCACTTGTCAAATTCACAGCAATCTGATGGAAGGAAAAAAATTATAACGGCATTTAAATGAATTTTAAGTGAACTCACCACGCTCACTTCGATCCCCGTCATAGTCCACCGGCTCCCCCTTTTTAAGTATTTTGATGGTGGGATATCCAGAAACTTCAAATCTACTTCCCAGTGCACTAGCCTTAGTGGCATCAACCTTTGCCACAGGAATCGGTGGGTCATTCTCCTTTAGCGTCTGAGCGATCTTCTCATACTCAGGAGCAAACTGTTTGCAGTGGCCACACCTGAAAAAGTGTAATATTTGCATGAGCAAGATCTCTGACAGTCAATGACGTGTCTCCTACGGATGTAGAGCAAAGAAGCCTTACCATGGTGCGTAGAACTCCACCAGTACTGTGTCTTTGCCCTCTATGAAGGTATCAAAGTTTTCATCTGTCAGGACCAGCACCCCATTCTCCTCCTTTACTTCAGTGTCATCTGCATCATCATCGTCATCCTCATCATCATCTTCCTCTCCAATATCTTCTGCTGAATCTAAAATGTTATGGTTAACAAATATGAAATGCATCAAGCTAAATCAGCTCCTGTTTTCTTGATACTTGTTTTATATTAATAGGTCTTTGTTGTAGTGCAACAAAAACATCTCCATGGTCTCTACAACACTGTCTAACATGCAGTGTTGCCATAAACAAGAATGCATCAAGCTAGCTAGCAATGCAACGGGTCTGAATATCCCAAAACAAACAAGCATGTTAGATATCAACAACCTGCAATAGATATATTACCATCTTTGGCATCTTCTTCGCATCGGCTTGGCAATATGAAGTGTGTCACTCCAAGCAGCACAATCAATAGAAGGGTTATCTTCTTCATGATCTGTAATATTCACGCCTCCTTTAGTTAATGGATTAAACCGAGACGCATACACTGCTACCGGTAATCAAATTAAAAAATACTGTGATAGTTATAACGTTTGCATTAAATGCTTTGACTCAGCTCATTACAAGTCACGCATTCTTCTCTAAATGCTTTTTTCTTACTTCGCTTCCCAATCCCCACTCCTTTACTCGAACTTGACTGACTTGCCACGCTCTGATTGGCTGGTAGAGCAAGGACTCGGCCAATCATCGGTCGCCACTCAAGTCCGCAGTTCATGCACGTTCAAAACCGCAATTGGGTGGTCTGTCGTGGGCTGCAAGCTGATTGGTCGATTAGTGAAAGCGATAAGACGAGTCTGACGAGTTACAGGAAGTGTAACTAGGAGCAAGTTATTGCTTTTACGATTTAAGTTTTTTAGTTGTTAATAGGTTAAGATATGAAATTCACACGTACCTGCATTATGACAGCATGGGTGAAGTAGCACAGTAAATGAGAAAAAGCTGTAGATATATAAAAGTCTTATTTATTAAAATTGGTTTTTGGCAAAGGAATGTTTAATTTTTAATTGCAAAATAACAGAAGGGGCCACCCTCATAAATTTTCACACAAACGCAAATAATACCCCAAATGTGAATTTTGAAATTGCTATATTTAAAAAAAAAACTGTCCAATTTGTCAAGCATGTTAAGACATGTCCTCTTAATATTTTAGCAACTTCATGCAAATCAAATATCACTTTTGAGGTATTTAATCAGATCAAATGGGTTTTTAAAGTAATGTTAAGCACCATTCTAAAAACCCAACTCCAGAGGGAATGTGGCTTGAAAATGCTAATTCTCTTCTTGGAATGAAACAGCAAAACTGAACAGCTCTTTTTTCTTGTATTACATACATTGTTCAATGAACCCTGGAATAATTGTTTGCCCTTGTACAGAATTGTCCATTCCCTCAATGGAAGATGTATTAAACACACGTGACTCTCCAGTTCGCTTGCCATGTGCTGTATGATGACCCATGTTCACTTCGCAAGTTGATGAGGTTAGAAGAGTGTGCCTTCTCATCTTTTGAGTCATGATTTGTGTCTTGATGGCAAAATTATGCACATCTGCCAACCTGCTTGGATCAGGCAGCATTGATGATTTAATGTACACTTTGTCCTTCCATTCAGCTGGTGCACAATGGGTCTGCTTGATTGAAGAAAGAATTTGGGCCTGTCCAGTCCCTTCTGACTCTCTGATTGGATCTTTGAGGCAGTTTCTGAAATTCCTCGGCCCTCTTGAAAAACTCTCCTCCTGCGATCTTCCTCTGCCTTGTAAGTACTGAGACGTTCTGTGTTCAAGTGGTGATCTTTAAGTGAAACAATTAGCACATTACAGTGATAGACTTTGACATTCATCTCAACTCTACTGTATTTGGAATTTGACATAGAAAACAAGTCTACCTGTGAGTGTTTTCCCTATATGAGGCACTGCTGATATCCAGGCATCCTATGTGTTTCTTCCCCAGTCCATCAAAAATTACACTCTATGCAAAACATGTATATGCAATTGTTGCAATTACCGGTATATATATAATGCAATTAAATATAAAATATACATTTTAACATGTAAGAAAATTGATAGACATTAAAGGAAATTTTTGTTGAAAATGTACTCACCTTTGGGCCATCCAAGATGTAGATGAGTTTTTGTTTTTTCTTCATCTGAACAGATTTGGACAAAATTTGGCCAGCAGCAACGGCTTAAAGTTAAAATGCTTTAATGATGGATTTTTTTCACTTCACAAGACATTAATAGATAGACTTGAGTCATATGGTTTACTTATGGATGTTTTTATCAGCTGTTTGGACACGCATTCTGACGGCACCCATTCACTGCAGAGGATCCATTGGTGAGCAAGTGATGTAATGCTAAATTACTCCAAATCTGTTCTGATGAAGAAACAAACTGAACTACATCTTGTTTGGCTTGAGGGTGAGTAAATTTTCAAACAAATTTTCATTTTGGGTGAACTATTCCTTTGATATAATATACATTTTATAAGATAACCTTTTTCACTTTTATCGCTGGTGCTTCAGACATCATTACTAATACTGACATATTATTTAGACACATTACTAATACTGTATAAATAAAACAAAATACATGCATAAGTTGCATAAATATGTGCTTGTACAATACAGCTTGAATAATATGAGTTCTGTGCAAAAGTGAAACAATCACCTCTGAGTCTGAGCTATAAACATGGCCAGAAAGCGGCACAGAGAAATTACTCTGAGTTTCAAATAGATTTTCTTTTGCTGGCAGGGTGTTGTGGAGACTGTCTGACATAGTGCAGAGATGAAACAACAGTTCATCCATGAGATCCTCAAACTCTGCTAAGTAAAACCTCTGTGAAAACAAAAGCAGATTTATCCTTAAATGAATAAAAATGATGCAGTCAAGAGTATTTCTATAGGCCCAATTTAATCTGTCTTAACGATTACAGACTGCTTACATTAGAGTGGACATGATGGTCAGTTGACTTGTGACTGGCTTTGCCAATAATGAGTAAAGCCTTGTCTTTGACATAAGAGATCAGCTCAAAGACAGTCAGTAAATGTTTTCTTTTTTTAGTTTTCTTTCTTTGTTTCACAAAAAAGGTAAGGGTGGCAATTACCTGAAAGAAATCAAAACAGAATCATGTCAACCAGTCTAGGAGGTATAGTTTTAATACCTCCTTTTTCATTAATTAAAGTTACACTTTTATCTATATATGAGATATAACTGCACTCAAATATACACTGTGTACCATCAATATTATTCCAATACATACCGTAGCATTAAATGGAATCATAGTGCACAATATAGCTCCAAAATAAATTGTTGATGGGACTTGGGCTTGGAGGTAAATGTTACCAAAGTGGCTCATGCAAAAGAAACGAGTGAAGAGCAAATGAGCAGATCTAGTGATACTGGTAAATGGGAACGAATGAAAGATCAAGTTGCGGAGACCGGAGAGGGCCACTGCGACAATAACACCAGGTGCCTAAATAGAAATAAAGATACGTAATTTAATGGAAGTAGCCTTTGGTTACATTAATGGGGTGAACTGATTTCAACATATTGTGTTATGTAAATCAATAGGCTACCAGTAACCAAAGCAGGTTGGAGAAGATCAGCTTCCAGTTAGACACAGCTGCCGCCATTGCTTTGTTTAGCCGTAGTAAGGACACACATTTCAGTAGAAGCAAATTAACCACAACGCCAAGGAGAGATTGAGAAAGCTGTTAATGAAATACGTTCATGTTTTTAAATTCAGAAAGCAGGCAGGAAGTCTGAACAAATTTGTTCACTTGAGCTATATAACTACATGCTGCGTCATTTTTGTACTCCTGAAATGTTAATCTGCAATCACATTATGGCATTTTTTTTTATATAGGGGGGTGATAGAAAATCCAATACAAGTAGTGTCATAATGAACTAAACTGCATTGTCCTACCTGCTCACAAAAGAAGATGGGGCTTAGATCAACAGGTAATTCAAAATCCTCCTTCTGCAGGAAATCAATCATCTCTGTTTTTAGCATAAAGATGTACACAGAGCAGATAAACCGCAAAAGACTGCAGATCAACACTGTCACCTGTGTAAAAAAAAATGTATTCAAATAATGTAAAATACAGTAAAGCAGATTAAATTTCTTTTTTTTAAAAACACAGTACAGTGTAAAAATGCATGTCTAGAAAGAGTGTAATGTCACCTCAAGCCAGCTCCAAAGGTTTCTCCAGTAAAGCCATTCTCTTTGAGTCATAACATATATTTGCCGATACATATGAAGCAGGATGAATAAAAGGAAAAGAAGCTAGAAGTAAAAAGACACAGAGAGGAAAAATAAGTTAAATATATTTACAATATAATACATTTAAACATATGTAAATAAATATAGATGTAATAAATTAAAAATCTTGAACCAAAAAATCTAGAAAAATACTATGGAAGTCAATGGCTACATCAACTGTTTGGTTACCAACATTCATCAGCTTATCTTCTTTTGTGTTCAACAGATGAAAGAAACGCATACAGGTTTGGAACAACATGAGGGTGAGTAAATGATGACAGAATTTAAATTTTTGGGTTAACTATCCCTTTAATGTTATCAGCTCAGCTACTGTGCTGTCATACATGTGTCTGGACTGTAATAAGATGCTCACCTCACAGGTCATAACACTGTAGTCAAGGGCAGCTGGGAAATGGTAGAGTCTAGTGGACTGTATGCTTGCCGAGGGCATCAGAGCTCCTGTTGAAGTTTGCTCTACTAGAATAGTGACTGCCGTGAAGAGGTTACTGGGCCCATTGTACAGGATAAACTGGACCATCACAATTTGGGTGAAAGGAGTCATCCAGCCAGTATCCAGAAGCTTTTTAATTGACTTGATTGCTTTGGACCTATTTTTAGCAGTGCAACACATATTCTTTATATATTGCACATAATACAAGATACATAATATTGGATATATCAGATTAATCAACGGTTTATCTGACCTTGTTTTTCCAAGGCTCACACTCACACTTTCTCCCTCATAACACCCAAGTTTCCCACAAAGTGAGTGTCTCTTTTCCACAGACTGGTTATCAGAGCATTTAATATTGTGCTTGCCCAACAAATTCAAGATCTGTGCATTGAGAAAATAAATATTAGCCTGTCAAAAGTGTTGTGTGTATACATTTAATGTGTCTTCACAAGAATTTTTAATTTTTTACTGTAGAGCAGTCAGTGTTGATGATTTACCTGGCATGACGAGTTATATGTGCTCTTGATCTTTCTTATGACTGGACTCCCAATAAGAGAAAAAGGACCGCTGAAATCTCCTGTCTGTTAAAGCAACACATAGTAAGCCGTATTCTTTGCAAAGCCACTTAAATCTGGTTTAAAATAGCAACAGATGTCAACTAAATCATTAAAAATGTACTTCATTTTCTACTCTTTTATCATAGCAGATGGCACTGTCATATAATCTCTCAAGGAAAGCGGTTGTTGTCCAGTTCCACCAATCGTCATGTTTTTGGATGGAGTGAAATGAATTTTGCAGACTCCTGTTTATAAGAAAACATTGTTAGCAATTGTAGTAATAATATCATTTCATGTAATGTAGTTATTTAAGAATGTCTGGTATTTACTTTGTGAAATGAGATTTGATAGCTTGATTCAAATGGTACTTGTAGTCATTGTCAGACTTTCCATAGGTCACGAACAGAACTGTCAACAGCATGATTAGGTGAAACGTCAAATCCCTGTTGAAGCAAAAGTGTAATTTTGAGAGTCAAATGTAAAAGGTTATAAGAAAAAAAGTACGAATTGAGGCTGATCAAATACTAAGACCTTGCGGTTTTGCGAAGGAGAGTCTGTTTCTTCATCTGGCCTCTCACACACTTCAACTCTCTTGAATTTGGTGGCTGCACCAGACGCAAATACCTGGCTCTCTGACGGGCAGCGAGCGTCTGCACATCAACATCATGCATGAATAGATGCAAACTTGATTTCAGGTTTTATTACTCAATCTTAACTTCTCTGATGTAGATGTATCACTGTGATAGAAATGATTTTACCTTTTCAAAATGGGACTGCTGGTATTTGCTAACAAAGACATTCTCAAGTTTTTGGTCCCTGTGTCTCAATAATTCAGTGACAGGCTCTTTTACACTTAGACCGTGGAACCAGTCTGGCTTCTTTCGAAGCAGCAGAGACACTGTGATAGCAGTTATGAGTATCTGTATGAGGAAATAAAATTAGCATATGTCAGGTTTTTATTTTTATTTTAAGATCCAGGAAATGTGGGCCAAATATTAAATTGAAACCATATACAGATCTGTGTGCGGGATCAAGATGATTTACCATTGCTGGATGCAGTACAAAGCCACAGCAGACAAGAGAAAAGAACACAGAATGAGCCCAAAGAAGAGTCTTTGTTTTGTCGAACCTGTAGGGTAACAAATTTAAATCCTAATTTTCATATATTTGGAAAACAAATATTGTGCCCGAGTAATATTCAAGCTTCAACAGAATACAGTACTAACAAAACGATCACTCACTTTACTCCAAGAGTTCCTGCGATGATGCAGCACGTAAGAGAAAGAGACAAGCAGAGGCTCCAGCCCACATAATAACACCAGGATCGAAGACTTTGGATTCTACCACCACAAACCTGCCGGTTCTCTAGGATGCCTGAAAAAAAGACAGAGAACAGAGAAAAGAGATTTTTTTAAATGTTCATAAATTATCCTTTCCATACACTTCAGTCCAAGAGCTTAGCGTCAGTAAGGTTTTTAATATGCTTAAAAGAAGTCTCGGTAACACTTTCTATGAAGCAGATACTGTGCAGATCTTAAATAAACAATGTCAAGATATGATACAGTCCATTATTCTGTAAATGAAGTAGATTTGATATGGTGTTCATTGTGTGTTATAAATAATCATACTCTTAAACTTATAACCACAAATACGTAAGTATTATGATGTATTATAACTGTTGTTATGATTATTCATGAGTTGATATAACATATTATAATATATTTTTATAATGCATTATGCATTCATTATAATGCCTTAAGAATACCCTTATAATGTATTATAAATACGGGCTTCATAGAAAGTGTTACCGAAGTCTCTGTAACATTTTACAAGAAGGTCCCATTTGTTAAAATTTGATAATGTATTAACTAAGAATGAGCAATACAATTGTTACAGTATTTATTCATTTTTGTTAACGTTAGTTAAGAAAAATACAACTATGTTCATTGTCAGTTCATGTTAGCTCAGGTCCATTAAATAATATGAACACATGCAACGTTTTATTTTAATAATGTATAATTGTATTTATGATGTATAAGAATTTTCATTCTTAGTTTTTCTTTAGTAATGAGGTTAACTGATGATAACAAATGGAACCTTGCTGTAAAGTGACACTGAAGTATCTTATGCTCATTAAGGCTGAATGTATTTGATCAAAATACAGTAAAAGCAGTAACATTGTGAAATACTATTAACATTTAAAATGACAGTTTTCTATTTTAATGTATTTTAAAATGTTATTTATTCCATAACTCCGGTCTTAGTTGTAAGAAATCATTCTAATTTGCTGACTATGTGCTCAAGAAACATTTAAAAGTTAAAAACAACAGCTGTTCTGCTTTATGTTTTTGTGGAAATCGTGACAGCTGTAACAATATTAATGTCTTTACTGTTAATGTCTATTTCTTTAAATGAAAATCTTACTGACCACAAACTTAATTTAAACAAATATATTGTTATAATTAAATAAAAAATTAAAAAATATTTATTTTTAATAATTATAATTGCTTTAAAAATATAAATAACCATAACCATATATCATTCTTACTATAAAATAATTGTAATATCATTTTTAACTAATGAGTTTACAAACCTGCAGCGGTGTGTGGTTTCAGATCAGACTTATTCCATTTGCATTTGTCATGTGATCTGCTGTTGACACCAGACATGGAGTCTTCCACAATCTCTAAGATGGCATCAGGGTCCTCTTGCAGTTTTGACACAGACACTGAATCTGAGGTTTTCCAATCCTGAGCAACACACCACTTGCACTTTAGTAAATGTAGACTAAAGTAGACTAAAGTCTTTAGTAATGTAGACTAAAATCATTTCAATGTCAAGCTTATTTAAATGAGCATATAAAGGAAGCATATTTAGCTGATCTGTACATTATACCTTGTAATCTGTTTTCCATGATCCTTGAGTCCATTGGGAAACTGTATTCCAGGACAAATACGATGCACAATCATTTATCAGAAGTGCATCATGGTGATCTGTGAAACAGACAAACCAATAGAAAGTGTTTTGAATAATGAGTAGACTGACACATGATAACAAAAGAGGAAAATGCATAAAAACATGCCTTCTACAGAGTAGACATCAGGCACCTTGACCTTATACTGCTCTCCGGACACACTACTGGATGTGGTCTAAAACAGATCAAATAACAGTAATATATAGGTACAATAACTAAATATATCATACATAATAAATACAAATTGTCTGAATGGATGCATGCAGTAGATCTAATGTTTAATTGTGTAGCAAGAAGAAACTGAGGGACAATTTCAGGCAGCCTGGGAATTCTGACCTTACTGACACGAAACACCAGGGACACCAGACCCCCCACCGGCAGCACAGCCAGAGCACTGCACAGGCCTGTTACCATGGAAACCGGTGAAACGCCAATAAGCCCCATCTCTACAAAACACTGCCCATTGGTGTGGAGTAGAAAACAACAAAGACATGTCTCAATATTGTGAATATGAAAGTAAAAGCAACAAAATCACAACAGTATTTGTTGGCATGTATTGATTTCGGTGTTGAACACCTGTTCTTCCAAAAGATTTACAAGCACTGCGCTGACACACATGTAGCCCTGCAGGAGCAGCAGGCACACACTCCAACGCTGAGTGTGTGTGTGAGAGCTGAAAGACGGACGACTGTACACAGACAGCCACGGGTGATGGTCCTCCAGGTATTCTGTGAGTTTCAAATACAGGAACTTTCGCAGATACATATGGAAAAACACAAGACATATTCAAAGAAAAAAATAATAATTTTACGTATGACAGATTACATCATTCATTAATCTTTGTGTTTTGTATTGTGCAGGCCAGTAGGGAATGCAATTAAAATTCTTTAAACCTTTAAGCTTTTTCTACCTTCATATTTGAAGAATATAAAGAAGAAATAGAAGAAGAAGAGGCAACAGCAGGCTGCAGTTATACGATCAAAATACAGTAAAATATAGATATAAATAAAATATAAATAAAAATAAATATTTGTTAAATATTATTACAATTTAAAATAGCTGTGTTCTATTTTAATATATTTTGAAATGTAATTTATTCCGGTGATGACAAAGCTCAATTTTCTGAAAGTTTAATTGCTGCCTTAAAGATTTAAGCAATATTTAAGTAAAAAAAAAATTAGTGCCAAAATTACAGCTTTTTAAAAATGGCAGAAATTATTATTAAATGGATAAATAAACAAAAATGTTGTTGTAACAAAATAAGTGGTAAGCAAATATAGAACTCAAAATAAATTGTATATGAAATATATGAATCAATTGTATACATTTTTTAACAATTGTAAGGTGAAACGTTAAGAATTTTAACTAAAAATGGCAGAAATTATTATTGAATGGATAAACAAACATGTTGTTGTAACAAATAATGGTAAACACATTTTTAAAGAGTGTTATTTAAATGTATTTAAATACATTTTAAATTAAAATTGAGCACTGTTGTCAAATTAAAAAGATTTGTCCTAGACTTTGTCCTAGAAAAATTAAAATTCTGTCATTATTTAATCACTCTTATCATATGGTGTTCCAAACCTGATTTTCTTTGTTCTGCAGAACACACACACACACAAATATATATATATATATATATATATACAGTATATATATATATATATTGAAGAATGCTAACTAAACAGATTCAGTTCCCATTGACTTCCATATGTGGACAAATAATACAATGGAAGTAAATGGGAACCAAAACTCTTCTCAACATCCTTTTCTGTGTTCAGCAGAAGAATGAAATGCATACAGGTTTGGAATGACATGAGGGTGAGTAAATGATGACAGAATTTTTATTTTGGGTGAACTATCCCTGCACAGACACAAATCTATAGCCATATTTAACCAGCAGTATATCACTAACAACATAAGGGTTCACCTGTTTAAATGTCAGGCTGCAATCAGAAGCAACTAAACTCCTCTCCACCCTTCCATCTCCCTCATCCACTGCCAGCCAGCACTGGCCCAGGAAGAACCAGCAGGACCCCTGCACCAGGTCTTTGACCACCACATGGCTCAGATACCAGCTGGGAGATGAACCTCCATTATCATGCCACAGATGCACCTTCCATACTCGACCCAGACTCTCTGGGGAACTGGAGAAATAATAAAGGTTAAATTATGACAATTACATTAGGTTTAAGTTAACAGTTGACTGTACTGCCTCAAAAATGATAAATATGCGAAATGAGCATTTACCTGAGAATAAAGGTATTCCTTGAGTTGCATGTAAAGAGTTTGGAGTCAGAGCTGCTGAGTTCCCTGGTTTGAGAGACACCTTTATCTCCATACAGAACAATATGGACCTGCCAATATTGTATAAACAAAGATTCAGAAATTCATGCAGCAATGGTCTCTGATAAGGATTTCACTTTCATTCTCATTCCCCGTGACAATGATTAATACCTTTGCTGTCATTCTGGTTCTAGATCTCAATCCTGTGTCTATGGTGACAGCATAGAGAAACCGGTCTGAGGGGTTGTTTTCTGGTAGCAGAAATGAGCCTGTAGTTTTCTGTATGGAAACATCAGCCTTCCTACAGATGACCAACACCACCACATACAGAGCCAGGAATATTACGGAAGAAATGATCAGTATGTAGTTGGTTTCGGAGCTGCGGGACAAGAAGAAAATATCTGTAAGTGTACGTTGGAAAACAACCATATTCAGATCTGATAAATGTGGAGAGAGGCATTGCAGGTGTACTGGATAAATTGTGAAACATCTGCAGAGTTGTAGCTGCTTATGATGTTCTCATGTGATACTGCAAATGATGCCAGGTGCTTGCAACTGAAAAAAGGAGAAAACCCATCAAACACATTTTTTGTGTTTTTTATTAGTGTATGGTGTCAGACAATATGGGCCTACAGAGCAAATGATTGACACAGTAATTGATATTGAGCAACACTATATTTAGAATTAGTTTCAAATCTATATGTAAGACCCTGAAGCAATTACTAAAACATTTGAGGTAACTATACAAGATTTTAAAAATCCATTACAGTTTCGTTTTTTGTTTTACCACTAGGTGGAGCATTTATTGTGTAATAATCTGTACCTGCAGTAGATCTTGTCTGCGGAAAGCCCGCCAAGAGGAAAACAGCCACTGGGCTTCCACTCTTTCACACCATCCCAGGACAAACACTCCACAGACTCAATGCGAAGTGTGTAGTTCACAGCTCTGGCCATGTACTTGTTGCTAGGGCTTTTATTATAGTCTGCATTGAGAAGCCTCAGGTACACAGAACCAGCAGCTGGAGATAAAGAGGTGAAATTAATTGGTGACATAATTTGATAAGTTAAAACCATGTGCAAAAATAACATGATAAACAAATATATAGAACTAAAAATAAATCATTTGAATATGAAATATGTTAAACAATTATATTAATTAGATGTAAATTTCAGTTGTGCATAAAGGTCCTATGAAATTTTGTCTTAAGTAACTGTTATTTTGGTATCTTTTGTACAGATTAAATTTAGTCATGGAAGTGACACATATTATAAAAAAAAAGAAGAAGAAAAAGAATTAGGGTAAAATAAGCTAAGGCTTCAGCCTATACCTTTTTTGGTTAATATGTAAAATTATGTATAATTATTATATAATAGTGAGGACCAAAATATAAAATCTTAAATATGATGATAATGATAAAAAAATTAAATGAGGTTCATATTTCATTAAATAGGATTGAGGGAGGAAGATGTGAGCCGTCTGTCCTTTCCAGTGATATATGTTCTGTTTGTTGTATAGATTAGGTGTTGGCTGCTCATACATCCTGTAAAAAGATGTTATAGTTAATAGTCAGGATGACTAAAACACTGAAGACTATCACTGAAATGCAGCGGTGTCCTCACCGAAGCAGCAGCAGGATGGGAAAGGGGCGTTCAGCTGGCCTGTTAAACTGCACAGTGATCTGAAGAGCTCTCTGAAGGGTCTGTGACGTGATGTTGAACTGATGAGTGTTCACCTGACCGTGCAGAAGAGTGAACCGTGCGTGTGGACTCTGCTGGAACAAAGATAAACACAAATCAGGGTAAACAAATAGAGGAAAACAATTAGGCATCATTAGTGATCAAGCAGTAGAAAGTATCTACATTTGTCTCCTCTTTCCTCTGAAATTCAATAGTAACTGGTGTGGATAGATGTCGGACTTTGATTTCCTTCCTAGTGGTGCAGTTGTAGAGCCGAATGTCTGCTGTCTCTCCACTGAGCTGTAATGTTGCATTAAATTAGAATGTAATTTGCTCCACATGTTTTTTCAAACTCAGCCATGCATTTCTAGTGTACCTGCACGTGTCTGGACCAGCGGTATGGGCTCTGCCTGTACACTGTGAGCCAGGTAATGACGCAGGGCTTGTGCTGGCTGTTTCTGCTCCATTGCTGAAATTGCATCTCCAGAAAGTCAGTGAGGTAGAACGCAGTGAGCCCAAATGTTTTCACCACAGAATGAGACCGCTCATCCTTCCAGGCTAACACTTCCATGAACATGGTGTTCACATTGTACTGCCAGACATTGCTGGACAGCAAATGCTCCTACGATCAAAATGTACAAGTTTAATATCACAGAATGTCAGAAGGCATCGGTTTAAATCAAAATAAGACTGAAATATCACAAATAAGACTAAAATACAATAACAAAAGCAGGCAAATGTCAAAAAGAAGTATTTAAAATGTATCACTGAACTTATAATCTGCAAAGGAGTGGAAAAATATGTTCAAATAATCAATTTATTGAAAGAACTTTACATAAACAAGTCCATGAATAAGCTTTTTTCACTAAATATGTAATTTTCTGTCACTTTTTGCTTGTATGATACCCACAGATGTAGCAGGAAATGTCTGGTTCATGTTTGCATTTTCTTCTGTCACTGGCCATAATTCTAACATTTTAATCAGAATTAGGCATAAAATAATGTCTTCAGAATCATCCATAAAAAATTGGTTAAGAATTAAACAAATAGTTGTAACCTGGCTCAGTGGAAGATATGAATTGTGTTTTTGTGGCAGCTTTTCTGGTGATTAAGGAATAATACAAGACTTCTTCACCTTACAAACGGTTGTCGAAAACCAAAAATGATGCAAAAATTAAAGTGCCATGTGCTAGAACACAACACTATTTTTGGAATCGGCATCCCAAAATTTAATTTTAAATAAAACAAAAACAAGCATTGGATTTCATTCAGCAAATATAATGCAGAAATTAACTGATCATGAGATGCACTGTGATCTGGACAATCTGAAGGACTTCATTCATAAAACAATTTTTGTTGATTTTTAACTTCTCAATCAGAAAAGATATCAGCGGGGCATGTTAATGCCATGATTTTGTAAACTAACATATCAACATAGCATCAGGGATGCTTCTCCTACCAGAACTAAATCAGTGATGGTGTAAAGCACTTTGTTTGTGAGTTGGTGTCCTGGTCTGGAAGCGAGCACTGGAGCCTCCAATACACCAGACAGGAGAGATACCAGCGCTTTCACCATCCCAGTGTCCAGAATATGGCCTGCTGGAGGCTTGGACTCATGTGAGAGGGATGAGATGTCGTGAACATGCTGAATTACTTGTTTGGCACTGTAAAATGTCACCTAAATCAGATATAAGATAGATGAAAAATAATGAGCAAAATGTATGACACTTTACAAACTGAAACTGAAATTAAATTTAAGTTATATATATATATTCCATAATATTCTGGGTTATACTTACTTGACTGGAGACTCTTATCAGATCGGTAAGCCTGTAAATGATTTCAAATAACAGAGGAATCTGCGTCCAGACTCAAGCGGTTCAGCACCGCTATCAAAAGAGAGATGTAGTTGATGATGTCTCTGTTGCTTCCGATCTTACTCAGACCGGTTAGGTTACCCACTCCATACATGTACCTGGAAAAAAGAATAAAAGTCCATTAAATACATCAGATAAAGATGTGAGAATTCATTTCCTGCATAATTCCATTGTGTCCGCACAGTTCGTGATCAGGGTTGAGCTGAGAGGATGAGTTCCTCTGAAAGCTTGGAAGAACAGTCACTTTCACAGGACATGGTTTGGTCGTTGCTCCAAATCTGTTCTTTATTTCGATATAGATTGTGACTGTGCGGGGAAAAAAGAAGAGGGTTTCTGAGATAAGATATAGCTTGTTTGTATGAGATTATAATAAAGTCTGCTTCATTGTTAAATCTTTGTACCTTTATAATCGTCATTAGGATCTCCACTAGGAAGACTAAAGTAATGTTGGAAATCCCTGCCTTCGTAAAGGAGTTTCCTAGGACTGGTGCCCACACTAAAACTGTATTCATACAAGAGATCCTGAACACGGAAACACAATTGCATCAAGATCAGATCAAGAAAAATTGAAAATATGAATGAAAGGAGCTAGTATAAGACAAAATGTAGACCTCTTTTCCAGAGGAGCAGAAGATGCTGAAGTAAGTGTGAATTTCATAGCCTGTGTTGGGCTGCACTTGGCAGCTCATTCCCTCAGGAACAGCTTGAGTGTGGAAGAACAGCTGGCTTTTCCCTTGCAGCCGCTCCTCAGAAACTGGAGGGGGAAAACGAATAGAAAAATGCAAATAGCATTAGGCCAAAAAAACTTCACAAATATTGAATGCCTTATTTATTTGTTTGTAAAATGAATTTCCATTTTGAATTTCCAAAACTCACTTGCAGACACTTCAAGCAAATAAAGACTCTTTGGTTTAAGCATGAAGGGTTTAAATGTGACAACCGAAGAAGAAAATCCTAAAGGAAAAAGACAACAACCAAAGGTTTTTTTTTTTACAGTCCGTATGTAAAATGAGTGATTAGGAATGTGTATGTAATTCAGTTTTGTGAGATGTACCTGTGAGAGTGTAAGACTCAAACACAGAGTGATGAATGAGCTGTCTGTGCAGATCTAGCAGGGTCTTCTCAGACACCGCCGGGCCATGAAGGCTGGGGTCCACCAGATTATCACCCTCATTGTCATAAGAGTGAGGGAATGATACATTCCAACTAAAGCCCAATGAATTGGTCCCTGACACACACACACACAAGACACAGTTAAATACACTACAACATTTAAATACTAGCAATTAGATCATTATTGTTTTTTTATGCAGAACATAAAAATATGTACCAGTAGGCCTGCCAACTGGGACACCAGGATCAGCCTCTTCAATTCCAACATTATAGTAATCATACTCTATAAACAGCACCAAAAATATCATGAGCGACATGCTTATTCAGTATACTGTTTGTTTATTACAATAAAATTGTTCATTTCAGGATGTATAGTCAGGAGGTGTGTTTACTTGAATGTAAAATACCTGGTAGGGAGAGATGATCGCCCGATATTGACTCCTGATAAACGTCTGTGTAAATCATGTCCTCAGTATGAAAATCTGCAAATGTAGCTCACAAAGTTAGTCTTTTATTTATTATTCTTGGCATTTATTTAATTGCTTTAAACTTAATTTTATTTCAGCTAGTTGCCAAGGCAGCATTTCTCATGTTTGTGTAATTTAACTTAAATTACTAAAATAACTAAAACTAATAAAAACTATACTGACATATTTAAAACAATAATAATAGTTACACAACAAAATTAGTTACACAACAACATTTCACTTTAAAATTAAAGTGAAATCAGAAATATAAAAAATTTACTTTAATTCAGAATATAAACAAAAACTACTGTGGTGTATGTATCAATGATACTGAAATAATATTGGTTAAAAGTTTCACTTTAAAATTAAAGTGAAATCAGAAATATAAAACATAAACTTTAATTCAAAATATAAACACAAACTATTGTGGTGTATCAATGATACTGAAATAATATTGGAGTTAAAAGTAATTTTAAATATTGCTTTATTTTATTTTATTTTATTTTATATTCATCAGTGGCAATCCTGGTGCTGAAAGATTATAACTGACCAAAGAAAAAATTTTATATGATTATTATTATTATTATTATTATTATTAGGTTGCCATAATGTTCTCATTGAGATAGATAACTGATCTATTATATAAAATATTTTTTCCTCCACAAATTGCTTTTGCCTTCAGATGTGTTCTTCCCATTTTATCTAAATACAACAACCACCAGGGGGCGTCTAATCTCATTATATTGTAATCGAAAACATCAACTATCAATGCTGTACGGAGCTAATTTTGTTTTAAAGCATAAAGACAAAAGCTTTATTATTATAGGTAATCCTATTTACGTTTTAAAACCTTTACATGATTCATTAATTCACATGATTCAGACTTTAAGACATGATTACTGTCACTCACCACAGTATCTTACCTGAGGTCATATCAGTCAGTGACACCTTATCTGAGGCTGGTAAAGACCCCTGATACTCCCACTGACTCCCGGACGACTCTGTTTCCCCGGGGAAGGATGGAAGGAAGGGGGGGTGTGAAGATGCGATAGTCGGAAATGCTGCATGGTGGTACGTGTTTGTGCTGAGGTTTTCAATTAGAGTGTGTACGCTAATATTATGGTGTTTTTTATGTATTATTGAAGTCAGAGTATCTTTTGTAACTGGGGCTGTAAAGTCAGTATCATCAGATAAAAGATAAGGAGCCAGAGATACTGGAACGGAAGGCTCAGTAAAATGGGCTGGAGTGTAGGGTGTCACAGCAGGCTGGGAGAAATGTAAGCTCTCCTCCATTTTGGAGGGTAAACCGAGATCCATACTGCTGCAGAACTGAACTGAGAGAAAGAGCAAGAGCAATCATTTTCAAAATTGATCCAAAAGCACAAACTAAACAAATGACTCGGAAAATATTAGATGTTTACTTTCTTTAAAATAAAGGTTCCAAAAGGGTGTTTTCAGGGTGATTGCAGAAAAGATCCATTTTTGGTTCCCCAAACCTTTTTCCATTATAAGATCAATTGAAAGGTTCTAGGTTCTATGGATGTTAAAGGTTCTAACAATGCCAACAAAGAATCTTTATTTTTAAGAGTGCATTTCTGTATGACTGTGTACTTACTTTCTGGTACAGCTTTGCTTGAGGAATTAACCAGGTAAAGTTTCCAGTAATAGGTCAGATTTGTTGTATTAAAACCACAAGCATCACAGAGAGCAGAAACAGAAAACGGCTCATTCCAATTCACTGCATTTTCTCGGAAATGTTTACAAGACAAATGAATGTTGCTGCAGAGAATAAAAAAAAAACATATTTATGAAACATGTGATATACACAAACATACTTTGTGCCACTATATTGTGTTTATTGCATATTATGTCTTTTATATAACCATGTAATTTTAGTTATCCACTTAAATCCCACCTGACATGTTTTGATGTTACAGTGATGAACGTCTCAGATGAGGACGATCGATGGCCACTGTACACGGAGAGAGTAAATTTAAGCAGGTCAAAATCAGGTTTCAAGGAAAGAGCGGGAAATGTAAGTACTGCTGAAGTGGTCACAATGTTCCTGTTGAAACAGCTGCTCTCTTCTGTGTTTACTGGCTTGCATGACCAGCTGTAACTAAAACAGAAACAAGAAAACAGATGTGATTTAAGTAAAAATGACAGAATGTATCAATGAACAAACACTGTTGTACCTTATAGTATTATTAGGGTAATCTGGGTCATGTGATTTTCGTCCATCAAGAGTGACGATGGTGCCGCTCTGACGATTGAGGAAAATATTTGTGGCTTCGCTGATGACACTGACAGGATGACTGCGCACCACTTCAATTAAAACACTGTAGTTGCTGTACACCACACTTCCGGTTACTTGGACCTTTGTGGTAAATACAACTTGTGTTAGTATTTCCCCATGTAAATATGTCTATTAAAATGTAGAGCAGTTAGGCTGAAAAAAAATTAAAGTAAGCAGCCTTAACCAGCTATCTGATCTGACTCTTGAAATTAATATTGTGGTGCAACCTAAGGTTATTATTTATTTAATAACATACAATTATATTTTGGAATATATATGGATATACACTATAGTTGTTTGTGAGTCAGTAAGGTTTTAAAGAAATTAATACCTTTATTCAGCAAGGATGCATTAAATTGCATTAAATTGATCAAAAGAGATGGTCGAAACATAACATTACAAAATATTTCTGTTTCAAATAAATGCTTTTGAATCCTGAAAAAAAAATTTTTTTTGTAGAAACCATGATATACAGTTGTTTTCAGGATTCTTTGACAATACACAAACGTTTTCAACACTGATAATAAGAAGAAACGTTTCTTGAGCACCAAATCAGCACATTAGAATGATTTCAGCAAGGATGCATTAAATTGCATTAAATTGATCAAAAGAGATGGTCGAAACATAACATTACAAAATATTTCTGTTTCAAATAAATGCTTTTGAATCCTGAAAAAAAAAAAGAATTTTGTAGAAACCATGATATACAGTTGTTTTCAGGATTCTTTCACAATACACAAACGTTTTCAACATTGATAATAAGAAGAAACGTTTCTTGAGCACCAAATCAGCACATTAGAAAGATTTCTGAAGGATCACGTGACACTGAAGACTGGAGTAATGATGCTGAAAATTCAGCTTTGCATCACAGGAAAATATTACATTTTTCAAATATATTAAAAATAGAAAACTGTCATTTTAAATCGCAATAACATTTCTTTCTATTTTTATTCCAATAAATGCAGCATTTGCAAACAACCCCAAACTTCTGAACAGTATAAATATAAATATTTGAATATATTTTAATTATATCAGTTATTTAAATGTTACCATATCAAGTACTTTTTAGATTATCTGACAGAACAATTAAGCAAAACAGTGAAGTAACAAAAAGTCATTACCTTTGCTATAGTTTTATATGTTCCATAATGAAGGAGGTAATTTGGAAGATCAATATACTGCCGTCCCATGTCTATGTGTGGGAAGAGCAGTTGTCGTCCGCTCATGTCATATATAGTCCATCTATACAGCAGACCTCTGGAAACATTGCACTGAATCTGTGCCTCAAACGTCACAGCAAGATGGACAGTTTGATACCGCCACACCTGAAAGTATGCAAGCAAAAACTACTTGTATATAGTATATAGACACATTTTTGTTAGTGGTGTCTCCATAGTGTTATTGTTAGAGTATAGTTGTATACTTGTAGCATATAGACAACTTGTACCTGTATTTTATTTGGGCCCATATTTTTCACAGGAGGAGGCTGACATAATTCTTCAACGACAAAGATGTGCCCTGTTAAAGAGGCTGAGCTCACCAGGTTGGACATAATAACTTCTACTATGTATTCTCCAGTTCTACAGAAAAAATTAAAAATAACATGTACAATAAATAAAGAAAATAAAAAAACATTCAGTGTCATAAGTGACCAACAATTATGACTGAGGACAAGATTTTGGTGGAAATAACTTACAAATGTAGCTATATATAAAAAATTATAATAAAAACAACGAACGATAAATCATTTTAAAAACAATACAGCCAGGAGAATGCATTTTTTACCTGTTATAGACATGATGCTCAGTGCTTGATCCATCTCGTTCTGTTCCATCTCCAAAATTCCAGACATACGAGACATCAGTTCCTGCGCTCATCAGGCAGGTGAAGTTCACAAAGCTGTGAGATAAAACTGAGGGACTATACAGAAGCCTGTTGGGCTGCACAGCTCTCTGAATCACGAGCGGATAAACATCTGAGCTGATGGATGTGAGACCATTAGACACACTGACAGTGACACTGTATCTGCAAATATAGATAGGAAAATAAATAAATAGACATAAAAACTTGAATCAGTGAGTGCACAGTCAAACTCACTATCAAAATTAGATTATAATTATAAATAAATAATAAATAAAAAAGTAACTAAATACTTCTAGACATGTAAAGTATTGACTCAGTAAAACATTATATTTCATCTGTATGAAATATGTTATAATTGTAAGCTCTTTAGTTTGTGAATGGTAAGTATGAAAATAGAGGAAACGAAAAAACAAAAAGTACTTGTCTGGTAAGCGATATCTCTTTTTGTAGATTCTGGATGTTGTTTTTATTTCTGGTCCATCCCCAAATTTCCAATGAAAGTATAGAGGATCAGGCTCTTCTGTTACTGCTACAAATTGAATGTCTGTTTCTGATGCATATGCCCGTTTATCAGAAAAGATCCAAACAGCTGGAAAACACAGCACACATACAGAGTGGAAAAGTATAAAAAGCGATGATAAGTTTGTACAACTGAGTAGCTTTTCTTTAGGAATGCATGGGACCTCACACCTCGCTTGTGACTGTCTATGGATTTTGTTGAGGCTTTACCCTGCTGCTTGTCCTCTGCATCTGTGGGCAGAGGGGCACAAGATGGGATATCCTGATCTCTCTTGGACAACATGAGATTCAAATACTCAGTCCCAAAGGGACATGCTCTAATCTTCCAGCTGGCAGAATGAGTGTAGATACTGTTCGTCACGGTCACATCTAAAAATACAGAGACATATGGTGGTCACAAAAGTTATTTTATTCTTCCCGTATATTTGTTGTTTTGCAGCTAAACATACTTAAATGGTACAATCCAGCAGCATGTAATATCGCATCTATGTAGCAGGTGAGGTATCCGCTGGCCATAACAGATATATTATGCAGACCCTGAGGACCAGAGTTCCCACTAAATGTAATGAAAACCATAGAAAAGTTTTCTTTGCTCAGATTTAGTATGCCTGGAACAAGAACATATACAAGGGATTACATTGCATTGCTTAGCCATAGATAATGATTTGAGAAAAGGATATTGTAAAATATATATTCCTTATATATTAACAATCAAAAAAGTATTTAATATATAGTGAAAATATAGGAATAATATATTGTGTTTAAATATTACAATATATTAAATAAAAAATAATATATAATGAATATAATATAATGAAAAATGTAGCAATGTATTGACTTACAATAGTGTATGTAATTTTATATTCAATAATACACTTTATAATGTATAGATGTACATGTGATAAATGTAAAAATGGTACTGTGTGTATTAATAGATTTAATATCTATGTGCAATATATGTACACAATTATGAGGAATATATTATACACACACACACATACACACCATGTTGCCATGACTTTAACAAGAAATTTACATTTGTTTTCAGTAAACATTTTTCTCTACACTACTACACATTTTCATATAAGAAATGTGTAACTATGCAAAAGTGAGATAAAAGTTGGGTTCTTTATTAGCTTCATTGCTATATAATTGTATATGTGTAAATATATAACCATATATGATCTATGCATATATTGCAGTATACTTAAAAATCTAAGTAAATGTATACTTATATGAAAATGTATTATTTAATATATTGCATTATATTTATATTTCCATTTGTTTTTCATAAGCGTCTTTATTTAAGATGTGTCCAATTCAATTAAATAAATTGAATTAAAAACCCAATTGAATTACAAGCAAGTTACATTACACAAGGGTTGCTATGGCAAGGCTGACAATAACCTGAGACTTCCAGGAGGAGGGGCTTCCCAATCTGCACCCTGTCAGTCAAAGCAGCTACAGTGGCTTCATGAACAGAAGGCCCTCTGCCGCTGTACACTGCCAACCAGCCCGTCTTATTCCCAGAAGGGACATACTCAGTGGAGAAGCATCTGTAGGCAAATAAAAACCAGACCTTCTTCTCAATACCAAACATTAAAACACAGAAACGTATCTGCAGGTCTTGAATCAATGAGTGAGCAGTTAAACTCATTATATGAATATTATAATATAATATTTATGAATATTTTTTTTCTTGGATGGTCGAAACTAGATTGTGAACATTCAAAAATCTGGAATGTCTTGCTGCATGACCCAATTTCTCTTGAGATTCAGTTCTCGGACACTGTCAGTCAAAGCAGCTACAGTGGCTTCATGAACAGAAGGCCCTCTGCCGCTGTACACTGCCAACCAGCCCGTCTTATTCCCAGAAGGGACATACTCAGTGGAGAAGCATCTGTAGGCAAATAAAAACCAGACCTTCTTCTCAATACCAAACATTAAAACACAGAAACGTATCTGCAGGTCTTGAATCAATGAGTGAGCAGTTAAACTCATTATATGAATATTATAATATAATATTTATGAATATTTTTTTTCTTGGATGGTCGAAACTAGATTGTGAACATTAAAAAATCTGGAATGTCTTGCTGCATGACCCAATTTCTCTTGAGATTCAGTTTTCGGACAGATGTCCTGACATTTTCCTTCAGAATTAGCTGCTATAATTCAGAATTCATTGTTCCATTAATGATGGTAAGCCGTCCTGGACCAGATGCAGCAAAACAGGCCCAAACCATGATACTACCACCACCATGTTTCACAGATGGGATATGGCTCTTATGCTGGAATGCAGTGTTTTCTTTCTCCAAACATAGTGCTGCTCATTTAAACCAAAATGTTCTATTTTGGTTTAACATTTCTCCAGTATTCCTCTGGCTTGTCCACATGATCTGTAGCAAACTGCAGATGGGCAGCAATGTTCTTTTTGGAGCGCAGTGGCTTTCTTCTTGCGACTCTGCCATGAACACCATGGTTGTTCAGTGTTATCCTAATGATGGGCTCATAAACATTAACATTAGCCAATGTGAGAAAGGCCTTTAGTTGCTTAGAAGTTAGCCTGCA